CCGACGTTAAGCATCGCGTTAAGCCGCCTTGCCTTTGCTCATCCCCCAGAAACCGCAACCCATCTGCTTCCCTCTCCTGTTCCCTACTGGGAAACTGCTCAAGGCTCTCCACAGAGCTGTTACACGGCAAGATGTTCTTTGACATTTCCAACGAGACTTTTGTGTGCAAAACATCTCGCTCCGACGGGCGCCTGGGAAGCGTTGGGGGAGCCATGGCAACGGGAACACAAAGCACCATTTATACAACTCTTATCTCTTAAAGATCTTCCCCATTGTCACTCCGGTCTGGGGGTCCCTTCGCCATGTCCCCCCAGGAGTATCACTGGCCACACTGCTCCCCGCCACCACGGGATTCAATGAAGGACCACTGTTCTGGCTTTGAAACTACCCAACGAGCCTGGATTGCCAAAAAAACCTTAAACGAGTGAGCCGAGCCGAGCCGAGCCGAGGGTGCACAGACCCCGCGGGCTGGGTGAGCTGAGGAGGGATGAAGCCCCAGGCTGGAGCGGTGCGGGGCGATGCGCGGGGGATGCCCGCACTCCTAACGTGAAACAACCATTGGATCAGTCCGGGCGTTAGCATGGATGACCTTTAGGGACAGGCCAAGCATGTAGGGAGGGAGAGCTGCTCTCCAGTGGGGTTTATGTGGGCTTAGATGACATTCTGGGGGAAAACGAGGTGGTTTTTTCCAGTAGCACTTATGAGCATCTCCAGGCCCGTGGGAGCAGCAGGAGGCTGCAGGAGCCAGCTGCAGGGAGGGCAGAGGAGTAGCATCCCCCTGCCCACAAGCCCCAGCCAGCATCCTTGACCCGGTACCTGCCTCCAGCCTTACAGGAAGGGCCGTTTCCAGCCCAGTGCTGCCTTTCCCCCCCGGCGCTGAGGGATGCTCGCTGTAATGAGTCGCCCGTTCCCCCAGCAGGCTGAGCTCCCATACCCTGTCCATCCCCACTGCGTTTCCCATTCCCATTCCTCTCCCCAAGTAATAAACCCCTGATGGCAGCCGGCTGTTAGTCCTTGGAAGCTGCCTACCAACATTTTCCCACGGAAAGTGGCGAAGTGACAGACCAGAGACATTTGCTGGCCAAGGAGGATGAATCAGCTCCAAAGTGCACACGGAAGGGATCTCCTCCTGTGACTGGCAAACAGCAAGTCATATGAATTGGAGCTCTGTCCTCACCGTCTACAGAGCAGACCCCGCCTGTGTGGCAGAAGCGTTGCAAAACCTCCTCTGGAGTTTTTACAGATTATATATATATATTTCTGCTTGAGTCATATGAATTTTGGCTGCCAGGAGAGCAGAGAAAAGCTCAAAGACGGAGTGGGCAGGACATCCCCAGCCTCAAGGGCTGGCAGCGATGAGCTTCCTGGCCTGATTCATGGCCACTTGTGACTTACGTGCCCCGCTGCGCTCAGCCCAGAGCAAAGCTCCCCTCCCAAAGAACGCAAAAGACTCACCGAGATTCAACCCCAGCCCGAAGCTGGGAACTTCTCAAAACCAGCGAGCAGAAAGAAAATGCACGTTAAGGGCACGAGCAAAGAGCAGCCAAAAGACCCAGCCAGAAATGAAAGATGGTGGTGTCCCGGCACATCTTCTCAGCCGTAAGAAGATGCTCCCCACCAGCCAGCCCAGACTGCAGGAGCAGCGTCAAGCCCTGCCCACCTGAGGAGCAGGATGCTCCAGCTCGGGCCCTCGCAGGACCAGGGTGCCTTTAACCCCTTTGGTGCCTAATCCCACCAAAAGATAAAGGTGGTTTTTGGGAAAGCCCCTCTACTCCAGTCCTTGCAGGCTCTGCCTGTGCAACATCACGTCGAGGCTACCCAGCTCCCAGCCCCCTGCCAGACTTTGCCACTGTCTGACACAGTCACCCAGGGGCCTTTTCCCTTGCCCAGAATTGTTCCTGCCTCCTGCCAGGAAAATGAATCAACCCCTGGCTCTGCCTCTTAATGCCAGGGAGCTGCTGCTTTCATGCCAGCTCAGAAGGGAGGAACGGGCTGCCCGTGCCCCATCCCCGCCTCGCTACCCACCCACACTGCTGCATCTTGCTCTCCACTGGCTGAAATCCCACATCCACCCATTCCCCCTCTGCCCAACAGCTTTTTCCCAACTGAGCCAGCTGGGAAGCTCCAGCAGCTCCGCTCCTGCCCAGGCAATATCAGGACAAACCCATCTCAAATGTGCAGATGGCCACAACACTTCACCTTCCAGTCCGGCGGGAGCTGGGCACCAAATCCCAGAGCGGGAAACATCTTGTCTCTAAAAGAGAAGAAAAAACGTGCGGGTGTATTTACACACACGAAGCAGGCTCTTGCTACAGCCTCCTCGTGCTACCAGCTGCCCAACGCCCAGCTACAGTGAAAGCGCCAGCTAAAAAATGTGCCAGCCTTCCCTTCTCCCGAAACAACACAGTGCCTTTAAAAATCATGAGAGCTGAACAGAGAGAGAATAGATGTTCCCCTCTGGCTTTTGATCTTTAGAGAAAAAAAGAGTCCAGCTTTGCTTCGTCACCTACAGGCATCAGGAGCATCCTCTTGCCCAAACACCTGAGTCTCTTGCAGACATGTAACCCTGGAGATTTAAAAAAAACCTAACTATCCATTTTGGTCATAAAAGCCAGCATGGCGAGACCAACAGATTTGTATTTTGTTTTCTCTAGCGATGGCTAAGATGATATTTTTCTGTGTTGCACACCTCAGGGCGGCTGGGGAACAAGGCAGCCGGGGGGTGCAGCTGCCGACGGCAGATACCAGCAAGCTGAGGGCACCTGCCTCTGCACCGAGAGAGCCCCAAGCAGCTGCTTTCCAGCTGTCCCTGGTAGAGGATGCTCCACCTCTACTAACACACCCTTCCTCTCAACAGCGGCGATGGGGCGGGGGGGAGAGGAGAAAACCTGTCCTTATCCTCTCCTCCTCCTGCATCCCAATGTACATGGCAGTTTTCTCCCAAGGAGCTTTTCAAAAGCAAGGTATTATTTAACCCTGTCTTTGCAGACGGGAAATCAAGGCACACGCATCCCAGCAGCCCCTTGGGAAACCAGGGAAACATCTGCAAAGCAGGGGTGGAGGCAGAAGGGCACCGTCCTTACGTGTCATAGTCCTGGATGATCTGGCCGACAGCCCAGATAGCCGACAAGTACTCGTTTGTCCCCATGGGGTTGATATAGTGCAAAGAGGAGGGGTCTCGCGGGTTCCCGTTGGAGGCTGTGAAGTCAATCCCAACCTGGGGAACGAGAGAGAAGCACAGACCCGTCCTCCTTTAGCAGACACCACCCCAGACCTGGCCACTGAGCCTCCATTGCCTTTGAGGTCCGCACACAGTCCCACCAAGACCCAAACCTCAAACAGTTGAAAAAGTTTAACAAAATCCAGCTCTTCACCTACCCTAAAAAAAAGCTGATTAAATACCAAGTCAGGCAAAGCCATTCACTATTACACCTGCATTTTTCACCTCTGAGCATCACATAAGGTGTTCCGAAGCAGCCCCCGCTCCTGGAGCAAGCCATCACCACCTCCAGCACAGGACTCTCGCTGCCCATCTCCCAGGCATTAAGCTCAGGGACGGAGTAGCCCCATGGACACCAAGGCAGGCAGGGCCACCTGGGCATGAGGATCTCAAGGTCTTTGACCAAAGAGTCGCAACCCCGAGCAGGTCTTT